CCCCCACTGTGCTAGATGTATCTCATACATGGCCCGACACACAAATTCGACACAACTACGCATGATCTGAAGGGGGCGTGACACAATAAGAAAACAACATTATACGTATTATAATCATACCAACTCTACACGCATCCCTTTTTCACCATTTGCTTGTCACGTGATAGAAAGAGCGGGCGTTTGGTGGGTGCTCGATCGTGGTCAGCTCCTTCTTATTTTAACTTTTTAGTTCATAATCAATTCATTACTACTAGTTGCAGTTGTGTGACGGCTATTCGTTACCCGCCACTATACTTCGGCAGGATAGAGAACAGAATTTGGCCGAGCTGTTAGCGGAGGAAGAAAGAGATCGTTTGAAGAGAGAGAGAAAGAAGAAAAAGAAGCAGAAGAGACAGCAGAACAAGCAGGGCCAGTTGGCGAGGAGTGTGAGTCTTCAGGCTGTCGGTGATTGTAGTTCTGAGGACGAGAACGATAGCGTCAGTGCTCACTCAGGTACAACATTGTTAACGACATTAAGATTTGCAATGAAAACCACAATTTAAAAAAAAAAAAAGATGAAAATTTGATTTTCATAATATTGGAGGTATGAATCTAATTCCAGTGCCATCCCAAATATGATGAAAACGACACTCATTCAGGTACATAGCTCAAGGCAAATGCAGAGAAGAATTTGGTTCTTCTGGAAATAAAAGCGATCTAATAGCACTTTTAAAAACAATCAGGGAACGATAACTTCAGTTTTTGGGACACCTGAATAGATATAAAGGTCTTGGACATCTTGCTCCCACTGGCAAAATTGAAGGCAAACGAGACCTAGAGCAACCTACTTAGGGAACCTAATCAAATGGGTAAAGGGGAAAGATCAGGGAAACGTTGCTTTTTTAGGAGCATTCGAGCCAAGTGATGAACCGAGAACCATGATCGCCGATGTCTATCGCAGATCTGGCACTGGATGAATGAATAGGGCTTGGAATGATTTTGATGAAAATGAGAGTTTCAGAAGATTAGATTTATGAATGTCATTTCGATTTCAGTTAGGAGAAAGTTATTTTAAATGACAAATGGGTGCTAAACCTTTTGTTGTCTATTGCTTGACGGAGTTTTGTTCAGTACATTGGTGAGTCAATTCCGATGAAATGTTTAGATATGGTTATAATTTTTTTTTTCGAAAGTACACAGCTCTGGTGCTTTCTTAGCTCGATTCTCTTGTAGTAAGAATTTTATCTAGTATCTCTGCCTTTCTGCTTGGACATTGTATACCTATCAGCCCAGTCTGACACTGAGAGGCAGGATCGAAACCTGCATAATATATTATTTAAATTGTTTTGATTGGGACGTACAAACTCGCATATACCCCCCCCCCCCCGCCCTACTTCCACAGCAGGAGACTGCTGTCAGAATGAAGCGCATACATTCTTCTCGAAATACGAATCGAAAAAAGAACAGTATAAAGCAAATGTAAATGACTGAATGATACTATACCAAACCGAAAACAATCCTCAAATAAAAGCAAAACTTCGAAGACACTTTTCAACAAGTATAATAAGCATCCTTGCAATTCACGGAAGCAAAACTAAAAACACAGCAAAGCATTGAAAACCCCTTCTCCAATGGGTAAATAAAAACGTAAAATTCTAGACGAAGAAAGATACTCACTTGTGTACGCTAATACGTAGGAAAACATTTCTGAAGCTGCAAGAACTGAATCATTTTAGGAATAAAGAAACGCAGTTGTATTGAGAAGCGTTTCACCCGACATAATAAGCACGCTACTAGGAATTGCAATATGTAAGACACGTCGGTAAAACACCCCCCCCCCCTTTTCCGCACAAACACACACACACACACACACACACACACACACACACACACACACACACACACACACACACACATATATATATACACACAAACAAACACACGAACACACACACACACAAACACACACACACACATGCACTGCATACTATTTTTATTATGTCTTCGAGAATCACAAAGATTGTAGGGTACCGTTTTCTGTTAGTCGGTGATATGGCTGCCACCCCATTGGGATCCCCACAATGATTCCGGATTATGTGCACTTGTTCGAGCAATTTGAAATGGTGGCTATGCTTTTCTTTTAACGACACAATTCTCATTTCTGCTTCTCAGGTCTGGCTGAGACCTCGCAGTGGGTGACCAGGACTCGGTCCCAGAGACTTGCTGGCCACGGCGGGACTGACAGAGAGGAGCGCGCTGCTTTCTATGAAGTAGGTGGCCGAATAGGAATAGCCAATTTGAAGTAAATAATATCCCCCCCCCCCCCCAAAAAAAAAAACCCAACAAAAAACGACAAAAATAGAACAAAACACAAAATACAAACAAACAACCCAAAAAACCCAAAAACAAAAAAATAAAAAAAGAATTTTAAAAATCTCCTTTTTTCTCTAAGTCGTCTCTACTAACTCAGTAATGTAACGTAACTGATAGTTAATATTTCTTTTTATGTGTCTTGAATTTTTTTTACCGCAGAAATAATCACCTTTTTATAAAGACAACGACGCTTTAGACAATTAATTAAGGCCAAGGAAAAAAACCAATATAGAAAAATGATCAAGTCCGGTTTACAACACTGACTGGCCTCTCTCTCAGCAGCAACGTTAGGCAATAAGGCGAGATAATATAACTGAAATATTTCAATACTTCTTCAGGTGATGGGTTGGGGGTGAGGGTGGGGTGAGTGAATTCGAGGGGAGTGGGAGGAGTTAAATATGCCAAAGATAAAGCTGTGCGTTTGCTAAGCATGCCGTGTAACTTTTTTCCCTGCCCTTCCTTATCTCCACACTAAGTTGCCTCTTTGTGTCAAACCATATGGCGTAAATATGAATTGAAAAAAATCAGCTCAAATTAAGCGTCTTCGGTCAAATCAGAATGGAAATCGAAAAACGTATGATTTAAAATTTTTTTTTTCTGTTTGTGATTGATAGTAGTCCATACTTTTATGATTGGAATAATTACCTTCAAGGAAAACGGGGTTAGATGGGAAGGGCGAAACGTACACAACTAAACATTCTTCATTGTTAAAATGAAGCGTATGACTCCTTACAAGATAGATAACTTTACCTTGAATTTACTTAGTACTGAACAAGCAGAAAATTCAGGAATCATTTACTCTAAATTGGTATTGGGTCAGAAGAAAATATCCTGGTTTGACCAAACCCACCAGTTTACCTCATCCTGATCTGCGGTCATCTAAAACAATACAAATAGTAGAACGATGCGAGGTGGGACCATCGCCAGTCCCGATTCTGAACCCCCGAGCAATCAAGCTGGGATCGACCTGGAAGAAATCAGCATATTCATTAAAAATTGAAGATCTAGTCAGGTTCGCTGATGTGGGACTCTTTCTACTACGTAATTGAACGTCTGACAATGGGACACCCCCCCCCTTTCCGAATTTCAGTCCCATTAATTTCATTTAGTTTTAATTAATAACATGAGCTATGTAGTTCTAATGAATGCTTCTTGGTCAACAGCAGCAGTTTGGTTTGATGGAGAATGTACAGCCGTCACAGCGCCAGGCCTCCAGGTACAGTCGTCGCACCACAGGGTCATCAAGCACTTCCCACGGTGTTACAGCATTTCCAGATGCAGACAGTGAGTGGCGACCGTCTGTGACTGTGACAGACGAGTTTCCCCCAATCACAAGACTCAGCGAAGACAAGAGCAACCAGGAGTCGAACGAGGGCTGGGTGAGAGTGGAAAGTCGGAGGCAAACTCAGAAGGGAGTAGTCTCTAGGCAGGTGCTGGCTTCCAATTCAGGACAAAATCTCTCCCCAGGTGCTGCAGCTGTCGTGAGGCCAACTCCATCTGAAGCTGGCAAGTTGGGACCCTTGCGGTGGGCCGATGTAGCTAAAATCGGCTGTCCGAGAGATAACGGGGCGAGGAATTTTACAGTGCTTCTAGGCGAAAATAGACCTTGCGGCAACGATTCCACAAAGGTGTCCGCGCTGTGTAAGAATCACGACACCCAATCTGGGCAAATATCGGAGACGTCAGAGAGGAGTAAGTTAGAGAGTGTTAGTAATGAGATTGGGGGATGGTTTCATGTAGCAAAATGCACACCTTCCAAAGAGAACTCTGTCATCAAACATGATTTAGAAGAATCGGGTGAAGTGGATGATTCTGAGACTGACAGTGAGGACAGTGCAGCTTCGTCGTCCTCTTCTGAATGCATAGACGGCCTTGATGCCAACGTTGTCGCTGGCGAGATAACAAAATCTGTGTGTAATACTTTCGCAGAGCCCACCACTGTCTCCTCGGAGTGTAAAAGCCAACACATAGTTTGTCCTGAAGAAATAACAACGGACACTTGCACGGACTTTGCGTTCATTAACAGCAGTAGAGCGAATCTTAAATCCAGAGGTCACAGAACAAATAAAGGAAGCCAGGGGAATGTCAGCACGAAGAATGTAGAATCACCTCGACCAAGTGGCTCATCAGACTGCGCTGAGAAAGTGACAAAAAGCACAAAAGGTGACAATGTGAAAGGGCCTCGGGCGAGGTCCGTGGACAGGTGTAACGGACGGAATGAAATGTTGAAGGCTCCATGGATAGTGACCAGCAACTCTCGCAGCATAGAAAGCAGTGCCCTCTGTGACGTCACTGGAGCGAGAGATGACGGAGATCTGACGTTGTACAAGAGGGAATTGTCATCAGACCATCCTTCAAGCTCCTTTTCGGGCTTTACGCACACTGTGCAAACAAAAAGGCACCAGGAAGGTATACAGTCATCAACGCCTTTGGAAATATCTAGAAATTCGTCTGACACAAAGTCAGTTATTAGGGAGTCGTGCCAGGCATTTGACTCTTGCTCAGATTCTCCGAGCATGGCGACGGCGAAGGAAGAGACTGCCCAGGAGACACCTTGGTCTCGGAACATTTGGGATTTTCATTCATCCGAGTCTATTCAAGCATCGCCTGGGCCCAGTGAGAACTGGCATTGGAACACCATGCTTGCTTCTGACCAGTCTTCTGCCGCAGACACAATGACCTCGCAGAATGCCTGTGTCAGTTCATTGGCTTTTATGCCGAGCTTATCTGGCATGACGAATCTCCTGGACCTAAATCCGATCCTGACGTCTGTGGCCGAACCATCCTTCTCCCAGTCCCCTAATCCTCTGGTCAGAGCTACAGTGGCCGGTACTTCTATCAGTGAAGTACCTAAATTGGCCGACTCTTCTAAAGCCCGTCCATCCGCTCCGCCTGGGTTCGGACACGATTCTATTATCTATTCAACCGGTCGTATGTGGGGAGGCAATCCATTCGTCTCTTTCAAAAGTGACGCTTCAGAAACGTCTAGTCTGCCAACATCGAATCTTCCAACGACCACTTTGCCAACGTCTTGCTATTTTGTTACTTCCTCTGAAGCAGACTACCCACTTGCTTCAATGTCGAAACCATCTCTGTCCTTCAAGTCAATGCTGCCGGAGAAAACAGTACTTACCCAAGGATTGCTCCCTTCAAGACAAACTAACTCTCTCTTCAGCACGGTAAAGACATCTACTCCTGCAGTAGGAATTGTTGGACCGTTGGCTTTCTCCAACTCCTGCTCCGTCCAGACACAATGCGACCAGTCCACAACTTATTTTTCAACAGCACCGACGTCACAGGCAGTCTTTGGGGGTAGCGAAGGACTAACAAGTAAGAAAATCGACAGAGACCATGGTCTATAGCGAGCTTTGGGGCTATCTTTTGTTAGGTCCATTTTTCCAGCTTTAGTGTAAATCACTTTAAAACCAATGAGTCCAAGTCGCGAAAATGGGATTTAGTACAAAATAAAACGGAACTTATTGGGATCACGGGCATTTACTGTAATGATTTTGGTCACAAATTGAATATTTTTCATCATCCTTATCGCGTGATGAAAACTCCCATACGCGGGAAATGGAACTTAGTACAAGATAATACTCAGCTCTTAGCAAGTAAACTATCAGTGACTCTAATTTATGCTCCACGTGAATGAATTCAAAGTGAACATTAGTACTGTGTAGCTTTGCCTCACAGGTTACTGGGCTGGAGGACAAGAGACTATCGGGACTGCTCTTAGGTGCACACATAGTTATGGGAATGCTTTAAGAAGTTTGAAGAAAACATTCTTTTCAGTCACCGTTTTACAATCTTCAAAGTCAGATACATGTAGAATTTCTGCAAAGCGAAAAACTATGTGTAAAGGTGTGAAAGTCCAGTAAAACCATGTTAAATGGTCTGGCTATTTTCTACTGACGGAAAAACAAACAAATAAAAGATCCAAATTAAAAGACGTCACGGAATAAGACATTCAGTATCAAAGAGTCGTGCAACATTGATGTAAACAAGAAATAAAAATAAAAAATCAAACAAAAAAGAACAAAACAAATCCTACAATCACACGCGATAGAAGCAACGGAAACTATAGCAACAAGATCAGCATCAATATCACCGATGACAGAAACACAAGAGATACGGAAAACCACCATTATCACGAGCCTCTCCACAACTACACTGATATCCCTAAATCATCACCGCCACCACCACAATCAAAACAAGCAGAACAGTAGGCCTACTAGGACAAGTACCACCAACTCCATTACCACTAAAACCACCACTGCTACCATCGCCACCATCACTTCCAGCGTCAACATTTTGATCACCACCACCACTACCACAATCATTACCACTACCAC